AGCTCAGTAGAATAAGTGCTTGCCTGGCAAGCGCAAGGCTCTGAGTTCAATCCCTGGTTCCACAAAAAAAAAAAAAAAACAAAGAGACATCAAGGCCAGGCATGCTAGAGCATACCTGGAAGGCAGAGGCAGGAGGATTACAGGTTTAGACTCAGCATGGACAACTCAGAGTCTCAGCGAAGACCCTGGGTTCAATCCTCAGAATCATAAAAGGCACAACACAACACAACAAAACAGACACTATCCAGCAGATATTCTCCCTACCACTGGCCAGGAAGGGGACCCCTTCTCAACATCAGCTAACAACCCATCCTCAAAGGCCAGGGGCTCTGGAGGAGGCTGGAAGGGCATCTTCAGGAGCAGTCTAGACCTACCATTCTCTTCTTGCACGGTCGCAGTCTCCCACAGGCTGCTCCCAGACAGTGGGATGTTAAGCTGCCATGGCCTCTGTGCCCAGCTGAGACAGCTGAGCCCAGCTGGACAGAGGACTCAGTGTGTCCTGGGCCCAGCCCATGCCAGCCCAAGTGTCCTATCTGAGATGAATAGGCCCACAGTCTTGGGGTCATCTCCCCACAGTCTCCTCCCACCAGCATGAGAGTTGTCTGAATACCACGCAGAATTTTCCCAGGCCCCTTTGACCTGACCTGGGACTTGGCCCCTACAAGAGTGGGGTGCAGGATATGTCTCATTTCAGGCCCTCCCCTGCACGCCTGGGATGGTTTGTCGTATGTATGGACTTGGTTCTTGGCTTTTAGTCCAACACTAGTCCAGCTGGGAAGAGGGCTCATGCCTGTAGTCTCTGCCACTGCAGAGGTGGAAGCAAGAGGATCGCATGAGCTCAGGAGTTTAAAGCCAGCCTGGGTGGGTAATACAGTGAGACTTAGACTCAAGAAAACAAAACAAAGGAAAAAAGAACACTCTAGATGTTGCTATAGAGGTTTTTCAGGTGTGGAAATATCTACCATCAGTTGACTTAAGGGAAAGATGACCCTTATCAATGTGGGTGGGTCTCATCCAATCAAGGAAGGCCTCAGAAGGAGAAACTGAGGCTTCCCGGAGAAGAAACTCTGCCTTGCGGTGGAAGCATCAAGTTCTGCCTGCCCTCAGTGGGGTGAGCAGGTCACAGACCCTGCCTCGCAATCAGTGCTGTTCATAGGCGTCTTCCTGAGGTTCCTCCTCCTGGGCTCTGTTCTTCTCCAAAGCCATAATAGGACCTTTCTTTCCTTTCTTCCCTCCCTTCTTCCCTTCTCTATCCTCTTTCTTTTTTTTTTTAAATTTATTTATTTTATTCATTTATTTGTGTGTGTGTGTGTGTGTGTGTGTGTGTGTGTGTG